AAGCTTTCTTTAAATTGTGATTAAAGTTACTTTCGCCCCGGAACGACCAAGAAAAGGCGGAAGGTAGTCTAGCGGAGCAGAGTACTGCCGCACGGTGGCCCTTTCTATGCTAAGAAGAAAGGTAACCCGTGAAACTTGGGCCACGTATACGGACATGTGACGGGCGAGGTGACGGGTCTGACACTGGCCCGTAATAGTTTACACCTAATTTGACATCTTGGCAAGATACAAAGATTTTTGGATATTAATTTTAAAAACACTTATTTCAGAAGGAAAAAAAAAAGGAATTTACTTTTTGTAAAAGAGAGCCAAACACGAGCAAAGTAACTGATTTTCCTGATAAAGAAAAATGTCGACCGGGCTCCCACCTCCTCCGCCGGCCACCAGCAGTGTCGCCACCACGAAGAGCAACCTCTTCGCCGCCGTGGATATGGGCACAAACTCCTTCAAACTTCTGATTGTCAGCACTGATCCCTCCTCCGGTCGCTTCCTCACTCTCAACCGCATCAAAGAACCCGTACTTCTCGGCCTTGACACCACTACCACTGCCAGCTCCACCATCTCCGATGCCTCAATCCGCCGTGCAATCTCCGCCCTCCTCAAGTTCCAACAAATTCTTCACACCCACAGCCTCCCTTCCTCCAATTCCCGCTTCGTCGCCACTTCTGCCATACGCGAAGCCTCCAACCAGACCCAATTCCTCGATTCAGTCCGCGAAAACCTCGGACACCAGGTAGAAATCCTTTCCGGCATTGAAGAAGCCCGCCTCATTTACCTTGGCGTCCTTCAGTTCTATCCGGTTTTCCACTCTACGATTCTTACTATCGATATTGGTGGGGGCTCTACTGAGTTCACAGTGGGTTTCGAGGGAAACGTATTGTTCTCTAAATCATTGAAATTAGGTCATGTAACTTTAACCCAGAATTTCACCCAAATTATGAGAATGCGAGAACACATTCGAAAAGAGATCGGAAATTCTGATTTAATCAAGAAAATTAAGGAGTTTAAGATAGATGTAGTGATAGGTTCCTCGGGTACAATTAAGGCGATTGAGAAGGCTGTTTGTAAAGGGTATGCCGGCAATATAGATGAAAATTCTGGAGTATTTGAGGACTTATATAAAAGAGAATGGAGATTCAGTAGGGAGGAGTTGAAGGGTTTAGTTGAGAGATTGTGTGAGGAAGAGAAGGAAATGGAGGGGAGGGGAAGGAGGGAAAGTTTTTTTAAGAGCCGAGCTGGGTTTATTTTGGCCGGAACAATTTTATTGGATGAGATATTCAAAAGGCTTGAGATTGAGGAAATGGAGGTATCTGGATATGCATTAGGGGAGGGTGTAATTACAGAGATGTTAGGGCGGGTTTTTGAGGGATTTGATCTGAATGCAAATGCTCGGTGGAGGTCAGTTGTCAGGCTGGCATCGAGATTTAATAATAAGAAAAGGATGAAGGCTGCTGCTATATGTGCGGGTATTGCAAGGGTATGGATGTTCTGAACATTTTAATGGATTTATTGGTTGAAACGCGTGCGATTGTTTATTGAGTTGGATTCTGCAGGGGATTTTTGAAGGCTTGAGAAAATGGAATGATGTTCATAACAATGGTGATGCCGGCAGCGATAAGGTTTTAGTACCCATGGATGAAGGTGATCTTGAATATCTAGAAGCTGCTTGTTTGCTTCACAGTATTGGGTTATGTACTGGCAAGAAGGGTTACCATAAGCAGTCTTATCGTGTTATTGTGGTAATGAACTCCTTTATTTAATGCGTTGGATTGATTTTATGGCATATGGAATTGGATACTTGTTAAAATATCACGCAATTTGGGTGGGGTAGATGAAAAAAATTAGCATGAATTTATTTATACAAAAGTCCAAATCGTACAACATAGTAAACCGTGACTATGCATCAGAATCAGCTGAGGACGATCATTACTCAAGCATCACATGAACTATAATACTTATTTATTAGTTAACTTTGGCAATCGTGCTTTTAATGTGCAGAATGGGGATCACCTCCATGGTTATAATCATAAAGAGGTTGAGGTATTTTGCTTACTTAAGCTTTGTCTGTTCTCCATATGTGATATTGCAAGTTTTCTAGATGCTAACAACATTTCAAAAGCTTTCAGTTAATAGCACTGTTGGTGAGACACCATAGGAAAAAAATTCCAAATTCTAATTCTCTTGAAGGATCTACTAAAGAGGTATCCTAACGTCTATATACCAAGTGTGTGTATATCAGTGCCTGCACATGTGTTTCCAATTTATTTTTGTGATATCGGATATCTCTTATTATTGATACGCTGATCTTTTCTCTCGAATATTAGGTAAAACAGAAATTTAGAATCCTCTGTACAATTATACGTTTGTCTACAGCAGTGCAGCGATGCCTTCCTGTGGATTTTCAGAACATGGAATTTACACATTCTCCTGAAGGTTTTGAATTGGTAAAATAGTCTCTTTATAGAAGAGCTTTGGTTTTCCTTTGTTTCATTCTTTGTTTTGAATTCTCCTAATGCAAGTTGAAAGTTATTGCCCATAATCTCTGCATTTGGCAACTTGGCTTTTAGGTGTTTCCTATTTATTGGGATAGAAGAGAGAGGATATGAGAAATGACTCTTGCCAACCATAATGGGAATAGTGATTTTGATTATTAATATTTTCGTCAGTTCCTGCAAATCTATTAAATTGCTCCATAGGTGTATAGATTTGCAGTTGGTTTTGAATTTATATGATGTGATTTTCAGGTACTTGGTGAAGCAAGATATGAGTCTCTATCCTGTAATGGTATGCAGCCATTAGCAGGAGACATCAATGCCTTACTGGAGAAAGAGTTGGAGCACTTCAGAACGGTAAGGCCTATGACCTTCAATATAATTGCAATTGAAAACATCATGGTATTGTCAAACCATATTTTTACGCAGGTTTTCAAGAAAAGGTTGGCAATTGTGGTCCCTTCAAGCGCTCAGAGTGCAAAATTATTATAAGGCAATTACCTTAATCTTTCACACTATGTTTCCAATGATTCTTCAGTAGAATATGGATCTGCCTCCATTTTGTCAGCTTTAAAGTTGTTTCTTCAGGCTAATGACTATTTTTCTTTAGGTTTGTAAATATAAACACAATGTAATTTTGATGCTTAACATGTACGCTGAAGCTTTTTTTACTGATACTATTTATTGATCGTTGGTCCTTGTCTTTTTTCTTATGATCTGTGAATCAATGCTAACATTGCACGAATTCATATGCGTCTATTGGATAAATGTTTCTTAACTGTGCCACGTTATATTTCTTCTGATTAGTTGGGTCGTTATATATTGATTTGTTCAGGTAATAACTGTCATTTAGCGTGTTAATAATATATTCATAGATGAGAGTACACTATGCCCACTACCTATGAAAAATTCTATTCTTTTGGATGTTACATATCCACGATCCTTCTGTGTACCATTCTTGGTGGACTTGTGAATTCACTCCTACAACTGTACGTGCATTGTGTATATATGAAAATAGCAGCTCATGGATTCGGACCATCTTCATCAAGTCTATCAGGTATTTCTGCTTTTGACTAGTCGTTGAGGACTTGAAACGAATAGCTTGGTTTCTCTTTTTCTATCTCTCATGTGGTATTATGTTGAAACAGAGTTCCTTAGAACCCAGTATGGTCTAAAGTTTGGTGTAGCAGAGCTGTAATAGATTTTTAACTATTGAAAACAACCTTCACAACCTTAATTTATGGAAATTCCTGGCTTGGTGACAAATGTGTCACCAAACTCCCACATTCAAACTGTAATTGCCTATTAGAGCATGTTTGGGGAAGTGTTTATAAATGGTTTAAATTACAAATAGATAGAAATAAGTGGTGAATGCAGAGTAACACTTGTGGGTCCTTGAAATGCGTGGATAAAAAATCCTTTTGACTGTTTATAAATACAATTAAGGCCCTGTTTGGGAGAGATTAAATCAATTCTCATTTTCAACCACACATTCTTCAATAAAATAATATTTTCCATCACATCAATAATTTTTTCTTCTTTTTCAACCACACATTTCCCATCATATCACTATTCAAAATCAATTCTTCCCCTAAAAATCCCTCCCAAACAAGCTCTAACTATTATCCTTCAATCCAGTCTCTAAATGCTTAACTATTAGTATTGGCTACATTTGAGAATCTACTGATGCACAATCCTTTAAATACAACAAAAAATTTTCATAAATCGATTGAGCATCTTTCCTGCTGCTTTTACTGCTCCCAATTCTTAAATCTTCAGGTTCATTTTCATATTAAAACCCGCAAAACAATTGGACTCCTACCAAAAATTTATTGTGTTAATATCTTAAAAATGTGAAAATGTTTCACAATTGCTATTTTGTTATCTGATGTATTGTCTCGCATACATTGAATGTGGTTGCTTGACCAATTACAATCTAATTCTCTCCTTTTTGTTACGATTGTTTGTTTACTGATGCTATGAAAATATTTATTGCATCTCGTCTAAAAACATATTTAATCATAGATTTGAGATGAGCTATTTCTTCACATGCAAAACTTGGGAAACCACTTTTAACATACACTTTAAACTGAATGTGCTCTATTGTTAATTTTTGTAAACAAGAAGTTGAGTGCGACCTGGAAGCTAGTTATTACGTGTTTCTGTGAATGCATGTTTGTTGGCAGGATGTACTCGCTGATTCGATCTTACAGACGTCCAACATACAGATAAATTTGGAGATTGTCTAGTTTTGCTTGCTGCTTATCATTCGATTGAAACACGGAGGTGCAGAATGAAGAGTGGATCGATATTCTGGGTACATTCTCATTTTTTTTTTGCTTTCCTTCTATACTTTGAGGGATTTTATAATTTTATAGGCGTATTGAGATCGTAATTGTAAATGCGACAATATTTTTAAATGATAAGAAGGCTTTTGTCTGTGTAGAAAAGACCAGACAAGCTCCCAAGGCTCAACGATCAGTGTTATCGATGCATCAGCTGCTGCTCGTGGAAAGGCAGAAAGCCCTCGAGCCAACTTTATACATTCCATCGTGTGAAAGAAAAGAAGATAAATAAGTATAATAATTCATGTAAATTACTGGTTTGCATTAGCATTCATAAACACTTTGTTTGCTTGCCAAATGTTTATTGTTAGTACATAGAATTGACTTGTCATCTGTTGATTTCTGGTACCATTCTGAAAATATCCGCTGGTTAAATATTTTAGAAGGCAAGTCTTGTGTCCTAGAAAACTTGCTATGGGTACTCGATGTGACTCCTCGTGCTCACATTTTCTGCAATCCCCCCTGTACAGAAAATTGCTGTCAGAATTTTTACAGATGCTGTGGTCTATTTTTATTTTGTTTTTGTCCTTGTCCAATAGAAAATTGTCAAGTATTATCTGTATGAATTTTGACTTGTCTGTTTTCATTTTGTTTTTCTCATTGTCCAATAGAAAATTATCAAGTGTTATCTTTTTAACAAATAGCAGCTCTCTCACATCTTTATATATATTTTTTTAACAAAATAATTTTGCCATTTTATTATTTCTAAAGAATTGTTTTCGGTGGTAGAAAATTCACGAGAATTTAGGTTATATCAATTTTATTTTAGATGAGATATTGTCTTTTTAAATACTTAAAAAGTAAAACTATGGGAGGTTAATATAATTTTTTAAATGTAAATGGATATTTCTGTGTTGTCTTTTTTTAGAAAAGAGAGAATTCTAAGGACCAAGTCAGTAAGGATAGATTAGTAAAACAACTTTACGGATAGGATTTTCCAATCCTTCAAAATCGTTGACTCTGTCAACATCAAGGGATTTATTATAAACCAAGCCACAGCCGCTCGGTCCACGACCAAACCTTATTGATCATCATGTCAAATGTCAATAAAACCCCTGCCTCATCTCCCCCAAAGAAGCACATTATTTGCATACACAAAAATTTATGGGTAAATTCCTCCAAGAGTTCCCCTTTTTCGCAACTATAACATCTATATCCTCAGCTTTCTATATCAGTCGTCATGCCCTCGACATTTGAACGCCGAGTAACCAAGTTGTCCCAATTTGACGGGAAAATTTAAAAAGGCTTACTGACTGAATCGGTAAAATTATTTAAAATTAATTTTCTTCCTCTCTCGAGATTTACATTGTTGTAGACTGTTACATTCAAAGCCTACACGTTATCTCCATATTTTCCCTCCTAACTTTTTTCCATGGAGCCCAAGCTATCCACTTAGGGTCCGTTTGAGAGGCAAACGTGGAAATAAATTCCAATTTCATGTTAATTGGAAAATAAAAATCCAACAAATCTATATGAATTCATTTTCCACGAAAATAAAGAAAAATGTAGTTTAAAGTGGTTGTACCTTGAAATTCGATTTCTATTTCCACGTTGTAATCAAACGGTCAAAGTAGAATTCGTTCTCTTCGAATGTGACACTTTTCATGAAATTCCAAGAAATCAAACAGGACCTTAGATTAAACATCTAACCATTAATCGACCAAAATTTTTCCCAATTTTTTAATCAAACATTTCCTAAAAATAAGTATTCAAAACATTGTTTTTCCTAAATAATAGTTGTCAAACAGGGGCTCGATCCGACATCACTGATATGTCCCGTGATTTTGTACAATAGTATGACTTCCTCAACTCTCACAGTATTAAAAGATTGAGGACTTGAACGTCACAACAGAAGATCGGAGACATGAACGCAATAGATTGGGGACCGAGGTAATTTACCCTTTATATTTTTTTATTTTATTTTATATATATGGAGAAACATCCAAAAATACCTGAAAGAGAGCCATAGATGCCAACAATTGTTGCAATTTTAGCTACATAACATCAAACACTTCACAGACACAGAGGACACTCATCCTATCTTCCTCTTCCCCATGCCTTCTGTAAACCGCCAATGTTTTGCCTTTTCCGTGAGATTTATTGCTACCATAAAGACCCATTCATTAGTGTTCTAAATACAGAGATTTTTGTCGCTTGTATTTATAAACATACCCAATTAGAGAAGGAAAAATCAATTTCCTTAAAGTGGAAGATGAACCAAAAATTGACCCTGTTTTTTTCCTTTTTCTGAAGAACCTCTCGGAGTGCAGTATACAAATATAGGCACGCATATGCATGTGGGTTTTCTGAAACTGAAATGCATTTAGAGTAGTAGAAATTTTTGTATTTTTCATTCACTCATTGTTCATAAAACTTCTTTCCAAGCTGAGATTTTTTATTTTTGGAAATTTTCTTATATTTTATTACTGTAATGTTGTTCAATGCATATATATATGTGTGTGTGTGTGTGCGTGCGTTTCTTGTATGAACTGAGTTATATTGGAGAGTAATTTGCGAGTTTCCTGATTTTTTTTTATTCAAGTTTTTTTATCATTTATTGCTTGCTGAAATGTTCGTATTTCCCACTTCTTCCACGGGCAAAGGGCCTTTTTGGTGTAATCTGATGCCTGGGTTCATTTTTGTTTTGAGTTGACTTTGTTAATTTTTAAGTATGTTCTTTTTGAAGCCTGATTATGGTACATGATTAATTATTATTTTTGTTTCATGGTGGCATATTGCTGTATGTTATTTTCGTTGCCATCACTGTGTCAATTTAGTCAAATATTGTGTTAAAGATTTGTTTCCAATGAAATGTAAGGATTACCCGAAATTATAACAACGTTATTATCTTGTAGAAAAGGGTTCGTAGACAATATATAAGCTTGGCTATGTAGTATTAGAAATTGGAAATATTCAGTTGGATCCTATGAGAATGAGGTGAAAAAGGAAATGATTGCTAATTCAAGTGTTCTATTCCATCACAAGTATCTGTGTCTTTTTTCTAGCTAAAGTTTGCATCACTCTTCCATTGTTCATTAATGGAATAGCCAAATACGTTTTCAGAATATGTTCAAAGCATGAGATTGCTGATTTAACTATCGGATCTTATTGTTCCTCTTCAAACTTTTAAAACTTCTGGAGGATTGAGTGCGGAAGATCTGTTGATAGTAGTGAAAAGACTTTTCTTACCGTGTCTCGCTTTGGAGAACGTTGTAGGAAGCATATATAGAATTCCTAAACTAGCACATTATTCCTAAACCAGCATATGCAAGCAGTAAATCCAGAGGCTATGATTCATACAACTAACTTAATAAACTAGACGTTAATTTAAGTTTGACACACAGACATTACAATCTAGTTGCATGTTCTTAACTTTACCTAGTATCTTTTTCTCGTTAGCTTTTACTTACCTATTGTCGTATGAGAAAATGTGGATCAATATACAAGACTCCATTGTTGTATTATAAGGTGGTGACTTTTATGTGCAGATTTCAAGGTAATTGTGGAGTTTTGGGATCTAGGAACACTAAAGGCTAAAGTAAGAGGAAACTCTTTCTTCAGATACCAACTATTTTCACTTGTATCATGATTAATCCTTTTATAGATTTTTTTTTTGGGCCACTGAGGTGAGTACCCGGCCGTAAACTTCAGGGCCCCGTGGAATTAGTCGAAGTGCGTCAAGCTGGCCTGGACATCCACGGTTATCAAAAAAAAAAAAAAATAGATTTTTTTTTTGGAAATATTTTGCCCCCGTTTGACATCAATTCTCTTTCTCATTTTTTTTCTCTTTCTTCATTTCAACCACACATCTTATCAATAAAATAATATTACACATAAACCCAAAAATTCTTCTTACTTTTCATCCACACATTCTTCCCATCAATCACTATTCTAGAATTTATTCTTCATCAAAATGGGTGTCAAACACACCCTTTAACTTTATTTTTAGGGTTGATTACGTGATTCAATCTTTCTCACTTAGTTTTTGCGTTTTCATTTTTCCTTATTCGAATAGCATTCATTTGTATATTTCCATCTTGTTGGACTCTTAGGGTTGCAGTTTAAGTTGATCTTTAATGAGAAATTGGACTTATATCTCATGAGTTGAAGAAGCCTTACTATATAGATTGTTGCACGATAGTCATATGAGTATTGTGCTTAATGTATATAGTTGAACGGTATATCCTTCTATTAGTATATAACACTGTCATGTGTATGATTGTATTGAAACTTTCCCGAACATAGCCAATCAATTCGATTCACAACTCCCAATTCGCTAAAGTATGGTTTTTACTTAGATTGGAACTTGGTTGTACCATCACGATCTTTTCTACAAATTGTTTAAATTTGCGAAATCAAGACTATATAAATTTGTTATGTCTTGAGGTACTTTCGAAAACATATGGATCAAACCACATGCCCGTCTCTATTAATAGGTCTAAAATATACTTCCTTTGCGATATTGAAATGCCTCTTATGGTTCTTGCCATCTCCATTAAAAAAAAATACTTCGGTTGACCAAGATCTTTGATCTCAAATTCCTTAGTCAAGATTTCTTTCAATTTCTCCATCTCCAGCACATCATCTCCTATAATAATTATATCATCTACGTTTACAATCAATATAGGTACCTTCCCTTTTACCAATCATTTGAGGAACAAAGTGTGATCATATTGTGCTTGATTATATCCATGAATCTTAATATCTTTTGTGAACCTATCTACCCATGCCCTTGGAGATTTCTTAAGGCCATAGAGCGACTTTTTTAGTTTACATACTTTTCTGGCACTATTTTCCCTTCAAAGTCTTATGAAATAGTCATGTATACTTACTCCTCGAAGTCTCCATTTAGAAAAGCGTTCTTCACATCCAATTGTTGTAAAGGCCAATCTAAACTTCCAGTCAGTGATAATAGAATTAGAATAGTGTTCTGTTTTGTAATGAGAGCAAACGTCTCTTGATAGTCTATGCCATAAGTGTAAAACCCTTTGCTAGATGGCTTTGAACCTTTCAACCAAACCATCATATTTATACTTGACTAAGAACATCCATTTGCAGCTCATCTTCTATGGCAATTCTGGAAGCTTCCATTCTTTTCCGGGCTATTCATCTCCTCATGTAGTGCCTTTTTTTTTTCCGAAAAATATAAAATATTTAATTTTTGTCCAATTTATCAATCCTTTCTTGGTTTATTCAATTTTAAATCAACGAGTTTGTTGATCACATCAATTATTCGGTATTCGTGTGCGAATCAACGAATAATTGATTTCTAAATTTGAGTTATTCTTTGTGAATCAACATGTTTTTGGGATCTTTCTAGTGTTCATCTCTTCACGCTTTCTCCTACTATTGCTTTAAAAACTAATGTATCATGTTATGTATTATTCAACATGTCTATTTGTTTTCTTGTGTAGGATTATCATTTTCTTAACCATGAGAATGGATGGAAGAATCCCAGATTGGCAAACTTATGATAGAACTCATCAAGCCTGGTCGGTAGGGAGGCATGCCTTTTTTGATCTATCCTGCATGCCTCCTTTGGTATTTGTGTATCTCTTAAAAGAATGTTATGCTTACGGTATTTTTCCCAGTCTTTTTATTTTAAGTTGTGTGGACTCTATATGTGTGTTCTGCTGTCCAATTTTGCTGAATGATCTATTGTCAAAAACAATGCTCAACTAGATGCTATTTCGTTTTGGGGTTGGGGGATGCAATGAGGCTATGCTTGAAAATTCTAGTATTCAAGATATGTGTAGTAAATCCAAGTTTACATTTAAGCCAGTTTGAAGCATTTATCAAACATTACTCTTTTCGAATTGTTGATTTATTATTTATGTTTTTTGGGATTTTGAAATTTATCTTAGGCCAGTTGACTCTTTTAGAATCACTTATTAGTTTCCTAATTATGTGGCAAATGGTGTTTGTATTAATTAAAACTCTGCTCTTCGGTTTCTCTTTCAGATTGTGCTCATAAAACTTCAGGATATATGCATTGCTCATCATGTAAGAGCAATCATGCTTTCCAATTGAGCAGATACCAATTAGAGAAAATTACAACTGCAGTCCTAATTCTTTGGGTCGTTGGCACTTGAATCCCCATTCCAATTTTTGGCAAATGTGTCCTCAAACTCCAATTATAAAAAGTTCCTCCTTACAGTTTCCTCCAGAACAGGTTAAATTCAGTGAAAAAGATAATTTCACCCTCACGTTCAAATACAGAACTAAACATAAAGCGAAAAAAACGAAAAACAAAAGAAATTAAAAGACCTCCTCCCTTCTCCCACCATCAAATCCCCCTCACACTCATTCACTACTACTAAATATTAGCACTAAGAACCCACAGAAAGATGTGAGAGCTTGGAATCGTTGTTGCAGAACAGTATCAGTTCTCTCTGTATCACCTCCTTACCTGTCCCAAGCTTGTAGCAGTTTCGTTTGGCTCCCAGTCATTCTTAGGCACTTCAATTTACTAAATAAATTAGCACTATCAAGGAAACATAATTTTGGAACTACAGCTTGTCAGATTTATTTCATTATGATAGCAATAGGAAATAAATAATTTTCCTTCTGAAGTAAGTACAATCTCCCTTTTGAAGCCTAATTCAGAAGCATTAAGTTCTATTGTAATTTGCAGAGCCAATCTCCAATATTAATGACTGGGATTAACCCAAGGAACTGTTTAAGCCACTAATTGTCCAAATTCTAGTACCTGAAGTTTGGTCTAGAGGGATTGATGTGAATTTCCAGGCTGCTCACTTGCTTTTAAAGTAGACTGACTAGAATTTCCTAGAATACTAAGTGTAAGTGTATCTTTGATTCTTGTAAAAACTGTGTGACCAAGATCAGTTTTGTATATCAATGTGGCAATATGGTATCACCAAGTAAACTAGCAATATCTTTCACACTCTTGCATCCTTGTTCTATTGATATAAAAGTTAGTAAAACTTCATTGCTTTGTTTGTTCTAGAAACTAGAATAAACGTAACTGAAACTTCAAAATGACTAAGCTTCGTATGCCGATTGAAGCCTTGACAGTGAGTTACTTCCATCACAGCATATTTCTTTTGATTGCATCGTTTAACAATGGTATTTATCAAATCTTTACATTTGACAGGAACATGCAAGGCAACTGCAAAGTTCCGTGCATTACAAGATCAAGTGCATCAAGTCCTTTACAATGACCCTCAACCTGGTCCTGCTACTTTCATTGCTTACTGCCTCTGTCTTCTGCCCATATTTGAAACACACAGAGAGGGCTTGAGTCATTTGATTATATCTGCTCTCCGTCGATTTCTGAAAACAGGATCCAATGCTGAAGACATACTCAATGCAAAACTTTTCACTGCCAAATTATTTTTGGATGTTACTGGTGGTAGTATGGTACATGATGAAAGGATTCTACTAAAGATTCTTCAGGTTTTTGACGTCAGTTTAGAAAATATAGAGGAAGTTATTCATGATTCTAATGTGAAGAGGAGTATCAATATAGATAGAGCAAAAGAATTAGTTGAGCAGTATATTTTTGAGTTGATAGAATCCCAATCATTCATGAATGCTGTTTCACTATTGGAACACTTCTCTATCCGTAATCCTGGGGAGTCATTTCTACTTAAAATGATGGAATGCGGAGAATATAAAGCAGCTGAAAAGTGGGCCGCATTCATGGGGAAATCTATGTTGTGCATACTTGTCCGAGAATATGTTGACAGGAAGCTTGTAAAACCTGCTTACTGTATTATAAAGAAAAATAACATGCATCAGGAATTCCCTGAACTATATCATCAGTATAAAGAAAGGCAAGTTAATTCAATGTAAATTACTGGGTTCCATATGTTGTTTTATGTTACATTTTCTTAGGACCTCACTTGGTTCTCTATGAAATTGCAGCTCACTGAAGAAACTAGCAGAAAAAGGTGTCTGGGATGTAGCGGAGGCAAGAGCCAATGCCGATAAACAGCTTCTCGAGTATTTGGTAGGTAGTTGGGACATGGGTAGAGGCTCTATTTGTTCTTTCCATGACACCTGTGGGAAAAATAATTTGGGATGGAAGTACATTGACCAGGCTAAAGTTGTGAATCCTCTGTTGTTGAGGCAAATTGGTGATGACCAATCCAAAATTTCCTTTCTCCTTTTACTGAATTGGCATCGCAGCAAAATGAAATCCAAATATGATAATAACATACAAATGTCATGAACCTTTCTTTCCCTACCAAATTCACTTGTCAAAGAAATTCAAGATCCATTAACGTTAAGCATGGTTATTGTGACATTTTCATATATTGTTTTCGTTGAAACCGGCACTCTGGAAAAGGGGGTGATGCAGGAGCAGGGCTCTCAGATTATCCTTCCCATTTAGTGGTTAAGATGATTTTAGGTGAATAATTGCCTTTATTTAACTGCAGTTGGAGTGAATCTGCATGCAAGAAGAAAAGCTCCAGAAACACAAAGAATTTTTTTTCCAGAAGAAAAATTAAGGCAAAGAAGTTCCTGTGCTTTTTTCCAAGCCAAGAAAATTTCCATTATTTTTGTTGCAATGTGGGATTAAATAAATGGTCACAGACCTACTGGTGAAATTGATAATTGAACTTTTTCTTTAAAGGTTTTTTTTTACTTGTGTTTTTTCAATATTAAAATAGACTGAAAACATAAAAAATGATCTCCTTTTTCTCTTTCTAAATTTGAGGTTTATTTGGCAATGGAAGCTGGCTACTCAGAAAAGGTTGAAGAACTTTGTGATCGCTATTCCCTCAATGGTTTCGTGAATGTCAAAGGTATGCTTGAAGAGACATTATATTTCATCTTCCACATTAATATCTTCTCTTGTTTTACGTCTAATGCCCCTACCTAATTTGGTAAGTAATAGTAGGTATCAGCACTGGAAGGGGTTTGCTTAAGTTACCCATCAAATGTTTGTTGCCTTGTGAATACCTTGTGCAGGAGCATGAACTTAAATTTGCTAAGTTTGTGCATCCTGATTTTGAAGTGGAGCGAGAATGCAGAAAATGTGTCTTTAGTAAGGACAGATGTTTACATTTGACTAGGGCATTTTGATAGGCTTTCAGGCAGATTCCCTGACATGATAGAGAGGTAATGATGCATGAGGATTCTGCTTGCTATCTGAGTTTGATTTCAGGTGGTTTATCCGCTCAAATCCATAACCAGGTTTCTGATAGAGTTAAAGGACGTGAATACCAATTTGATTTCCTTCTCTTTTTGGGAGCAAAAAGTCAATTAAATCGACACATTCCTTCAAATGATTTCCTTGGGTTTAGTTTGTAAATGAAACACGGTTAATTCCATCCTGGAGTCTTAAAACTCTAAAGTTTAAGGACTATGGCATAATTTTTTGTTCGTCTGATGACGTTCTGTTGAAGACAAGAATTGAATACGTCTCTAAAAGTTTAAGCTTTTAGATGGGATGGTTATGTCCGAGCCAGGCAAAAGACTTGAGTTCAAGTGTCATTACTTGTGCTTGTCTACTTTTGAAGAAGTTGTGATCAAAATAATGTAGTCCGTCAATCATCTTCCCCGAATGTAGGTCCTCACTGCAAGAATTAAGAAATTTGACAACACAATTAGAGTCCTTGGGAATTGCTATTAGATAACATTACGCAAAGATTAGACACATGAACAGATTTTAAAAGTAGATCTTTTGATGTGACCATTGAAATTCGTGGAACCGGAGATAAGCTACATCAGCTATTCCAATTTGTAAATGACCGGAACATGGAGATCATGCGAAAATAAACGTGACAAACTAGTCACGTGATGAGATGCACCCGGATCATTGATCCAAGGTTCTGGATTCCATGAGCTAGTGAGGGAACTTAAAGGGCTACCGTTTTGGGCAAGAGAACTAGAGAGGACACTGGAGGCTGTGTTTGGTTTAGCAACTTATAGATCAAGTTGCTCCCAGACCCAGTTGAAAGGAGTTGTTTCAGTTTGACATTGACTCGCCTACAAAACTGCCCACTTGCAATTTGCTGGCTTTCCATGTGACTTCCAGCATCTTTCTCGTGTACCTTGGCTTACTCAAAAATCACGCCAACCTTTACCTCTCTTCGAACTTTCATAGTGAAGCATAATTGGTGCATTTAAGTGCAGAATTTTAAATAGGAGACTTTGTTCTCCATCGTTGCCAACTGGTAACTTACTTCCCTCCTATCTTCTGGAAAGACTTCACAGTATAGATTTCTGATATTTTTAATTGAATAGAGAGATTGTCCAGAAACAACGATAAAGAATAGTTCTTTGATAATTTTGGCGTAAATAACTGGAACAAATTATAAAGAACTTGCTGATTCTAGTTAGTGTCTGATACTATTTTAACCATATCGTCTAAGGGCTGACATGAATCCATATAAATCTCGTCTTCAAAAAGTTCGTAGATGACTGTGGACATCTAAGAAGTTTTTGAAGGAGATTTTTCATTTTTTTCAACTGTATTAATTTCCATTTTCATTAATTTGATTTGGCTGGTGTCATTGTTATCTAAAAATTAGCTTCTTATGTTCCACCATTGTGAATGAGTCGTGAGAAGTGCAAGTGGATAATTTTGGCGTTCCAATAGTATTTTCTTTAAAACTCTTATCTCAGTAAGTTTAAATTATGGATTTCATCTAGTGGTTGTACTTCTTTTCCATCTTTTGGTAACATAAATAGGAGGATTCATCTTCGTTGTTTTGGTATGTCTCTTTTCATTTCATTACATCATTCAGTTTAGCAAGAAAAACATTGATACGGGAATTTATTTATTTACTCTTTCCTAACCAAAGTTCTTTCAATCATATGCATAGAGCTCGAGGCTAATGTTGTCCACAACGGCTATTTGCACCTTGACGAATTGTTGATTGAGGATGTTGTTTGGGTAGATGAAGTCCATGGTTTGCTTGAATCAACATCATACTTTGAGAATTGCAAAATTATTGGCATTGACTGTGAATGGAAACCTAATTATGAAAAGGGCAGCAAACCCAGTAAGGTACTTTTCAGTTTATCCATTGCCACTGGCCACTGCAATAGCGAATTTTTATCTCTCAATATGTTCTCCTTTTGGTTTCATTAAGATTAAGTGCTTACGGAAGAACCTTTTCAGTGTCATATAGTACTTGAACGTCTGAGAATAGCATTATTAATACAAATGATTCAAAAATACGTGCATTTTCCTTTTCACGTTTTAGAAAAAAAGGGGATGCATTATTGAAGCATATGGAAATACACTTGCATTCCTACAAAAACATCTTATACATATTCTGCTGGCATTACACAAGTCTCTTCTGCTTCTCCGATTTCGAGAAGTTGTTGCCTTTGCCCCTAAATTTTTTCAATCCTTGTATGACCCGCCTTTCAAAGTCTCAATTCAAATCATATAAATATGTGCGCACATTAGCGAACACTAGTGAATCAGGTGCATGTTTACTTATGGCCTCGTAGCTTCTTTAAGGGTAAACAGAGAAGAAAAAAACAAAAATAAAAAAAGTGAAGTGCATCATGCCTACAACTTTAAGAATACAACTCGTAAAGGTGATATGTTGATTTTCACGCTAAATAACATTCATAATTTTCGATCTGTATTATTTTAGACCACTGGATACGTATTCCAAGTAAACACTTCTTTAAATATGATTATCCAAAAGCACTAGGATTTGATTTTGTGGGTTCACATGCCACAGCCTTTCTCGTGCAAATCTCGTTGTATATTTTGCATTGTCATAACAATGTTATATGATTACCCATGCTACAGGTTTCTATCATGCAAATTGCATCTGAGAGAAAGGTTTACATATTTGACTTGATAAAGCTATATGAAGACATTCCAACTGTACTAGATGAATGCCTTGCCCGTGTATTGCACTCTCCAAGTATTCTGAAGCTTGGTAAGTTCATGTTCATGGATACAATTATTTGGGCTATTGGAGTGTAATTATTTGAGTTGAAATTGTTTTTGCATTCTAATTCAAGTCCAATGTCCAAGCAAGACTTAGTTACCTGAACTATACTAACTGGATGAAAAACAGAAAAACTTGATTTGACTTTTGAGTCTTTCAGCATTGTTGTCAAAGTCTAAAAGTTCATTGTATTTTATTTTATCATTATATCCTATGCATCCAGATATTCTCCCAGTTCAATGTTTTGAAAGTAGTTTGTTTCTTTAGTTTGTCTCCATTGCCAAACAATGTCCACAACTCAATAAAACTAAAGGGATGTCCACATTCTGTAGGTTTTACATTTGATCTTGTTATGAATAAATAATTTAAATTTTGAAAAAATGTGACTAAAGCTGTGATTTTGTTATCTACAGGCTACAATTTTCAATGTGATGCAAAGCAGCTTGCTCATTCTTATGGAGATCTGAGTTGTTTCAAGCACTGTGAGATGCTCCTAGATATTCAGAATGTGTTCAAAGAGCCGCGAGGTGGTCTTTCTGGTTTAGCAAAGGTATTGCAGCCACCAACTGTACTTGTTTTCTCTCATTGTGATATTTCATTGACCATTATGAGTTTGCACGTCATTTTTTGTTTTGTTAATTCTTTTTTTGCTTCTACCATGGTCAAGTGGTTATCAAATTAATCTCTCTCTTGGGCATTGTGTTCACGACAACAGAAGATACTAGGAACTGGTTTGAACAAAACAAGACGAAACAGTAACTGGGAGCAACGGCCTTTGACTCAGTATCAGGCAAGTGTTTTGTGTTCTGTACTGACTAAACTATCAGCCACAACTAGGGGAGCTGGGCTCCCCCAGTGCCAGGTGGCCCGCACAGGAAAAGCCAGCCATGGCAAGGCACAGTCTGGACTGTGCTGTGCTGTGGGTTGGCTCGGCCCTTGAGCAAGGTCTACGGGCCCATAACCCACATAGGCTGTGCCAGGGCAGGTAGGCCTCTAATTTTTATGTGAGAAAATGAAGATGTGGTTGAAATATTTAGTTGCAGATAGGGGCTCTGTGCAATGCAGAGTGTTAGACTCTGCGATGGACTCTTCTGCATACCAAGGAAACAGTACACTTATTTTATTTTTTCCTGAGGAAAAAAATAAAAAATAAAATTCAGGCCTTGCTGTTGCTTTTGCACCTAAAACCAGGGGACGACCCTGTTTACACCTCTCAACACAACAGCGGTAGATATTGCCAGCTTATAAGAAATGAGGCAGCTCGAATTGCACGCTTTAATCTTTTCTTAAGAAACTTGTGAAACGACTATTATTGAGAACTTCACTTTAGCATTCTCATGTTCTCCTACTCATTGGACTTTTCATTATCTGGAGTTGCTTAATTTCTGAACTCTATATATTCTCTCTCATTTGGCTTGAATATTTTTGCAGCTGGAATATGCTGCTCTTGATGCTGCTGTCCTCCTCCACATATTTCAGCATGTACGCAACCACTCGCTGCCAACAGACTCCCTCGATGAGCATTCCAAAATCGAATGGAAATCTTGCATTGTATGGATTCCAGACCCGATGTCTCGCTCTCACTCCCTCTCTATTTTTACATTATATCCATCTATTTCTAAGCATGCACACTCCATGTGTATAAAATTTCATTCCCCTCTGTATGTAATCATATTGTCTGGTCATACTTGACTTTTTTGGATAAATTGCATGCGCTGTTCCCAGCCTCTATCCCCCTTTGCACTTTTATCCCCAACTATTTTTTTGTTCAAGTTAAGCCATGGTTAAACTTGAAAAAAAGGGTGGAGATAGAAGTGCAAAAGTGGTATTGGTTGGGGATATACTTTATTGATTGATTATGCTAAGAGTGATGCTATTCATATTTAGCACTACCGGTAGTCATCCTATGTGACATGTATTTGATTCCTTAATATTTAATAGTGGGCATTATTGATTAAAAAAATGATGGAATTAGATATATGTCACACGATGATGACTACTGGTAGTATTCACTATGAATATCATTATTCTTATGTAATTTGTAAAATTCTAACTAATCCCGGGAATCAATACAGGTTTCACACATGGACATCAACAAAATGGCGAAAAAGGATGCCAAAACCAAAAGCGGGTTTGATTCTGGGACGAACGACTCTTCAGAAAGCATCGCAACACATGAGCCTTGTCCATCGATGTGAAGTTAGTCTGCAAATTGCCCTTTCTCATTGCTTTTAATCTATCTTTATTTATGAACATTTCCATTGGTCTGAGACCGACCAAGATGTTTTATACTAGAAAAAAATTGTGTATAATTAATGTCGTTTTAATCCATTAATATTTAATCATAAAATCTTATGACCCTCCATATTTCTCTCGTAGTTTTGAGGTTAAATTATTCTCTTTCAAATTTTAACTCAAAAAAGAAAATCATTTTTTTTTAAAAAAAAAACCATAAAAGGGGAAGAAACCCATGATTCCATCTCTCTCTCTCCCTCTCAATAATAGACAGCTTGAACATATAAAAGGGAAAGCTTTGTTTCCCTTCTCTCTCTATAAACCATTGAACATATATTGACATGGAGAGAGGGAGGGAGATGAGGAGCCGGAGCAATGGCCAGAGGGTAGGTGTCAAAGCTTACGATGCAAGTGTTGATCTCTATGTTCACAAATCCAACCTCCCTCCACCCACAATGTGCAAAGATGTCTTCGGTGCGCCAAAACCTCGACCCCGATCCCGAGCGTGGTACAGCGATCGCGAGATGAAAAGGAGAAAAAGAATTGCCACTTACAAATACTACTCCGTTGAAGGCAAGGTTAAGAGATCATTTCGAAATGGTATTCGTTGGTTCAAGAATACTTGCTCCAAAATTGTGCATGGATTCTAGAGGATCTCTCTTTCAAATTTCTGCATGCATGCGTGCAAAATCTCTTCACTTTTTATGGGCTATATGCATATGAGATATGATATTAAAATCACAATTTTAATTACTTTCTTCTCTTTTTTAAACAATTTTTTATTTTTTTCTCTTTTTGATTTGGTTTTTGAAATAAATTTATGTAAATTCGTTCGTGTATTTTTAGTGAAGTTTTTTTTTTTTGTTATGTTGGGAAATATATGAAGAATTTAATGGTGATTTGTTAATGATTAAGAAAGTCTATTGGTCTCCGTATCGAAATTAGAATCAATTAATAGGATAACCAAATTCGAGGTAAAGTAAATAAGGCATTGGTAATAATAAAGAAGGTAAATCCATAAATTAAGATAAATCATTTTATTACCCAAAAATATTAGGCACTATTTGATTGCACTTAAATTCTATGGAAATTCCATGGAGGGTAAATTCCATTTTCCGCCCTTGCATGTTTGATCGCCCAAATTTTTTTTTCCATGAAATTGGTTTTTCATCTTTCACCAAAATGCACATTTTCTTGGTTTTTGAGGAAAATCTTTTACTATTTTTTGCAATGAAAACAAATTCTATCCCCAATTGTAACAAATTATATCCCTTTAATTAACAATTTTCAAGAAAAACAAAGTCAAATGAACACCAAAATTTCAATATTTTCAAGTAAAAAATTATACCAATCAAACACAATTAATCGACAATTTTCAATAAAACAAGTTATAGGCAATTTAATTCCTTGGAATTCATTTTTTTCCACTCAAATTCCATTCTTGCAATCAAACGGGCATTTAGTTATTTGGATATATCATAATCACGGGATTTTTTTTTAATTATTATTAAAAGAAATCTACTTTTGCCATTGATTATTTGCTATATTTCACCAAAAAAATTTGTTATTGTTTTTACGATTAATTTTGAAAATAAAAATTCTAAATTTCTAATAAATCCTTACGTGGCAATAATGAGATTAGAGCTTTGCATCTTGTACAGAAGCAGAGTGGCCAAAAAATGGCCAAACACTCACAACGGGGACAGGGAAGGGGGAGGGGGGGGGGGGGGGGGAAA